GTGGCGCGCGCCCCCCGCCCCCTCCCCGACCGGCACCCCCTCTGCACACGGACGGACGCCCCGACTCCTCGGCACCAACGGACAGACGCACGGACCCCCGCCACGGCCAGGCAGAGGGATGCGCCAACGCTCCCACCACGGACAGACGGACGCGCCAAACCTCCCACCCTGGACGGACTCACCAACACCCCTGGACAGACGAACGCACCAAAGCCTCCGCCCTGGACAGACGGACTTGCTAACACCCCCCCGGACGGACGGACACACTGAAACCCACACCGTGGCTGGACAACGTGCGGACCCCCACTCCCTGCCCATGTAGATGGACGGACGACCCCCCACTCAAGACAAGCGGATCTCCCCCAGACCTCTCCCCACCCCCCAGGGACAGACGGATGCCCCTGCGGAGCACAGCGCCCCAGCGGGACCTCAGCCTCCCTGCCCCACCCAGCACCTCCGGGCAGCGGCTGGAGGGGACGGACAGACGGGCACTGGCTGCCCCCAGCCGAAGCATCCAGCCGGTGCTTAAGGTGGAAGCGGCCAGGGCCCTGCCAGGTGCTGCGCAGAGGTGGGTGCTGGCCCCGGGGCTGGGGGGGCTCTTCTGCCCCGCTGGCCCCTTGTGCCTGGCGCAGGCAGGGGCAGGTTTGGGCCTGGGCTCTGCCCGCCCTCCCCCCAGCGCAGCCCTGATCCTGCCCCCTCCCGGGCCCCTCGTGCCTCCCGCCAGGATTGTTGGTGCCACAGAGAAGCCACAGGCTCAGGATCCGCTGCCCCCTCCCGCAGCACCCCAGTGCCCAGACATGGGGGTCTGCTCCCACCCTCCTCAACCCTCCAGGCCTGGAGCAGCTACCCTCCCTGCGCTGGGGCAGCTCAGACCATGCCTGCTCCCCGAGGGCAGCCCCCAGTGCCAAAACGCAGCCGCCTCTGGGGTGGGGCTGGCAGCCAGGGAACCCGCACCGGGCGAAGCTGCCGTGCCCTGGAGACGGGGAGTGAGGGATGTGGCCAGGGCCAGGGGGGAGGATGGCAGGCTCCACCTTAAGAGCTCCCTCACCCGGGGCCAGGCTCCCTGGCAGGGCCCCCCTCCGGAGCCAGTGCCCGCTGATTCACTGGGTGGTGCTGGGATGGGCCCAATGCCAGGCAGGGCCGTCCTGGGGCCTGCAGCCAGCCCCTGCGCGGAGGGCAGCTGGCTCTGCTGCGCCCTTCGTGCTGGAGCTGGGAGCCGCGGTGCCAAGGCCGGAGGCAGGCTGGCAGTGGCAGCACTCGGGTCCACGTGTGCGGGCATCCCCCTGCCGGTGCAAGAGCCTTTGCTGGGAACCCCCTGCTCTGCAGCACCCCGCTGGCAGCAAGGACCGCACCATACCCGCCCGGCCAGGCGGCATGGCGTGGCCTGCCCCCGCCTCGCGGAGCCCTGCCGGGAGATGGCGCGGCCTGGACTGACCCGTGCTGGAAGGCGCTCATCCTGGGAGGCCCCGGTGCCGCCCAGCGGCCGTGACGGGCTGCAGCCAGCGCGCCCCCTGCACTGCTGGGACCTCGCATGGCATCTGCAGGGAGGTGGCGCCGGTGGCACCGGAGCCTCGACGGAGCACGTGAGGCCTGAGGTGAGGCCCGTGGGCAGGGCAGGGGGTGGGCAGGGGCTGTTCTACCCGCGGGCTGCAGCCTCCATGCAGCCCCACGAGGGTCATGCTTAGTGCCCGTGAGGTCGGGGCACTGTGGTGGGCTGGGGACACAGTGCCAGGGAGGCTGCGGCTGTGGCTGCTGTGGGGGAGAGAGCAGGCGTGGGGGGCGGGGGCAGAGCGCCCGGATGGGCACGTGGCTGCGCTCATCGTGACCTTTCCCTTGCAGGGCCCTGAGGAGCCACCTGCCCTGCTGCTGCGCCCGACCCTCCGCCTGCTGCGGTGCCACCGGCCTCCCCAGGGCCCCGGAGCCCGCAGCCCGGCTGTGCCCCTTGCAGGGGCTGGAGCCCCAACACCGAGCACCTCGTGCCACCTGCTGCCCTCGCCCCTCTGCAGCTCCTCCCTCAATAAAGCCGCTTTATCGGTTGGTTTGAGCCTGTCTGCAGGGCTTTCCTGGGGCGGGCCCTGCCCGATGAGCCACTGTGCCAAGTGCACGGATCCAAATAACGGACTGGAATTTGGGCTGGGACTACAGCTACCAGTCCTCCTTGGGCCACCTCCTGGACATCTCTGCACAGATGGCAAGTAAATCAGTGCCTGGCACGGCCACAGCGGTCTTTGGACCAGATGAAAACATGGTCGAGGCTGTCCCGGAGAGTCCCCCGGTGCCACAGAGGCGTGGCGTGGGGTGGCCCAAGGAGAATTTCTGGCGCTAATCCCAGCCCAAAAGGAATTTCTTAGTTGAGCCATTATACTTGGTGCGGGGGGCATGGGGGCTGCACTTAGCAGCATGGCACGGGCTGCGCAGGACTCTGGTCTGGGGAGTCCAGCGGTGCCACGGAGGCATGGCGCGGGGTGGCCAAGAAGGATTTCCACCTCTAATCCAGCCCCAAAACGGCTCCTTATTCAAGCCATTGTATTTAGTACAGTCGCTGGGGGGAGGAGGGGGGCTTTGCGCCGACAGCGTGGCAGAGCCAAACCGCGCTTCGGGCCGGACAGCACGCTGGGAGCGTCGCGGGGGCGTGGGGTGCCCCAACAAGGACTCCCATCTCTAACCCCAGCCCAAAAACCAGCTCCCTGCTCGAGTCGTACGGAGCACAGCGGCCAGGGGTGTCAGGGCACGCAAAACCGGGAAAGAGGCACGGCATGGCGTGGTGTGGCGTGGCCCAAGAAGGATTCCTGTCTCTCATCCCAGCCCAAACTCCAGTTCTGTCTTGGGCCCGTGTGCTCGGCGCGGCGTCAGGCGGGTGTCTGGTGGCAGCCTGGCACGGCCACAGGTCTGCGGTGGGTCGGGCTGCTCGGGGCGGCCCCCCAGGGAAGCCTGGGGCGGCCCAGGAAGGTTTGGCCCCATAAACCCATGCTAACCTGACCGGGTTTAGGGCTCTACTCGCCGTGGGGGTTGTTACCCTGCGTCTTGGGCCCGTGTGCTCGGCGCGGCGTCAGGCGGGTGTCTGGTGGCAGCCTGGCACGGCCACAGGTCTGCGGTGGGTCGGGCTGCTCGGGGCGGCCCCCCAGGGAAGCCTGGGGCGGCCCAGGAAGGTTTGGCCCCATAAACCCATGCTAACCTGACCGGGTTTAGGGCTCTACTCGCCGTGGGGGTTGTTACCCTGCCCGGCTCCCTCTGTCCAGCGTGGACTTCGTTAGTAACAAGCTTTTATTAAGTCTAGATTAGCTTTGGAAAAGGAGCCGACGTCAGCCAGCCCGTGTGCCCGGGGAGGGTCCGCGCCGGGCGG